AGCATCTACGCGCCCCTGACATCTGCCTTCGCGATTACCAGCGGAACCGAGTCCCCATCGTGGGCCAGGGTACCTTCCGGGTGCAATTCAAAAACTTCAGCGGCCAGCTCCCAGTGACGGTGGTCAGCGGTGACCTGCAGAGCCTCCTGGGGCTTGACTGGTTCAAAGCCCTGGGCCTAGAAGTGACCGGTATCAACACCTTGAAAGACGAGAGCACCGAAGAATTCTTTAAGGAGTTCGAGGACGTCTTTGGCACCGATCTAGGTAAGTATGTGGGGACCCCAAGCTCTTTTAGTTTGGACCCCAACATAGCCCCCATCAGGCTAAAACCCAGGAGATTACCTTTCACTCTCCGCCCTAAAATTGATCTGGAAATTGACAAGCTCATAGGCCAGCGAATCCTAGAGCCGGTAGATCACGCATGCTGGGAGACCCCTATAGTGACATCTGTCAAATCTGATGGGTCTGTTCGCATCTGCGCGGACTACAAGTGCACAAACAATAAAGTGTTACAACAAAGCGCTTACCCTGTACCCATTGTACAGCATTTATTACATTCCTTAGGCCTCGGAAAAATATTTGCAAAAATTGGACATGGCGCAGGCATACCAACAATTGTCTGTAGATGGTGCTACGGCGGAGGCCCAAACCATCGTGATGCACAGGGGTGCATTCAAATGTAACCACCTGCAATGTGGAGTTAGTATCGCCCCTGGACTGTTCCAAAGCGTCATGGAACGGTTTTTGTGGGGGATTCCAGGTGCCGTCCCCTATTTTGATGACATCTTGGTATCGGCTGCAAATGAGGTGCAACTTTTCAAACATTTAAGAACTGTTTTGACCAGAATTAGAGACAAAGGCCTCCATCTCAAAAAAGAAAAATGCCAAATTAACGTGCCAAGGGTTGAATTCTTAGGGTACCTCATCGATGGCTCTGGGATTCACCCAACCACTAAAAAAATTAAAGCAATCCAGGACGCTCCTACACCTAGCAATCAGACCAAGCTGCAGGCATTTCTCGGGCTCCTTAATTTCTACAGCGTCTTTCTTAAACAGAAAGCCACTGTTGCTGAGCCCTTACATCATCTCCTGGCAAAGAACGTGAAGTGGTCCTGGGGCAGAGCCGAAGCAGCCGCATTTGCTGCAGTGAAAAGCCTACTGTCAGCAGACACGTTCCTGGTTCAGTACAGCCAGACCCTGCCACTTGTGATAACTTGTGACGCTTCCCCGTTTGGGTTTCCTCTGAAACCGCATGCCCAATGGAACCCATAGCCTATTACTCAAGGACTTTGTCCACTGCCGAGCGGAACTACAGCCAGCTGGACCGTGAGGCTTTGGCTGTAGTGGCCAGTTTAAAAAGGTTCCATGAGTACCTCTACGGCCATGACTTTGAACTCATCACGGACCACAAACCGTTACTGGGCTTTCTGGCTGGGGACCGACCTACTCCTGTTTCACTGTCGCCGTGAATGACCAGGTGGACTATTTTCCTCGCGGCCTACACCTATCGCCAGGCTCAACTTTGTGGCATGCACTTTGAGTCTCTGCCCGCTGTCTGAACTGCTTGCAGACCCGACCCCCGAGATGCCAGTCCTTCTCATTGACTGCTTAGAGACTGGTCCTGTCTCGTCTAGTGACATTGCTCGCCACTCTGCAAGAGACTCCACGATAAAACAAGTTTTGAAATGGGTGTGGACGGGGTGGCCCAAGGGGCCTGTTGGGTCTGATTTCAAAATGTATTATTGTAAAAGAGGTGAATTGTTTGTTATTAATGGCTGTTTGCTGTGGGGGGACCGGGTCGTTGTTCCACCCAAACTGCGCGTTGCAGTATTAGAGGCTTTACATGTAGGGCATCCTGGAATTGTCAGGATGAAGTCTTTGGCTAGGACATACATGTGGTGGCCTAACATGGACAGGGAGATTGAAGAATGGGTGGCTACCTGCACACCGTGCCAGGAGTCCAGACCAGCTCCCCCAGAGGCACCAGCTAAGGAGTGGGAGCGGCCTCAAGCACCATGGTCTAGGGTGCACATAGATTTCTCTGGCCCAGTTCATGGCCAGACATTCTTGGTAGTTGTGGATGCCTACTCGAAATGGCTAGAGGTAGTCCTCATGACCTCTACCACAGCAGAAGCAGTCATCAAGGTACTACAGAGACTTTTCTCCACGCACGGCCTGCCCGATGTCCTGGTCTCTGACAACTGGCCCCAGTTCACGGCCATGCAATTCGAGACCTACTTAGCAGCACAGGGAATCAGACATGCCCTGGTCGCGCCATTCCATCCGGCCTCCAATGGTCAGGCAGAGAGAATGGTGAGATCTGCAAAAGAGGCCCTATCCAGGATGNTTGTAAAAAATAATAATAAAGAAATTCATTTGAATAAAAAGCTTCCCCAATTTCACCAGCTTGTAGCTGCAGAAAACAGCAGGATGCTTGTGAAATCGGGGACCCTAAAAAAAAAAAGAAGAAGAAGAAGAAGAAGAAGAAGAAGAAGAAGAAGAAGAAGAAGAACAAGAAGAACAACAACAACAACAACAACAACAACAACAACAACAACAACATGTTCCTGGGTTACTGTGGACAGGAAGTGTTCGAAACAGCCAAAGATCTATCTGAGCCAACGCCACTCCAATCGGTCGCTTGGTCAGTGCTCCAACAGACGCTGAGGACACACTACGCTCCCAAGCCGTCTAAACACGTCCGCCGGCACAAATTTAATATTCACAATCAAAAGGAAGGCAAATCGATCAATGAGTACATTGCAGCGCTAAGAAAGGCCGCAGCATACTGCGAGTTCAGAGACCTAGAGGAACTCATACTTGACCGCATCATATGCGGTGTGCGGGACATTAATTTACAGAGGAGATTACTTGCCAAGTCTAATCTCACTCTGCAAATTGCCTTGGACGAAGCCAGGGCATCCAAATCTGCCGTTAAGTCTACAGAAACCCTGCAGCGCCAAAGCACTCCACAAGACGCGTCAAAGAACGCATGTGTACACCACGAGGCTACAAAGGCCATGGGCTCAGAAAGCAAAGATGACAGCTGCCGCATGCGCAGTGACCGCACCAAGGCGGCATGCAAATTCGAACCGCGTTTCCAGTCTTCTGCAAGCTGTGGAGGAGACCATGCCAGATCATTTTGCCATTTCCACAACGCCCTCTGCCAGCGCTGCGAGCGAAAGGGGCACATTGCCAAGGTTTGCAGAAGCGAGCACCCCACTACAACCTGGAAGCCCAGAAACCGACCTCACTGCCAGCAGAGGCCCAACCAAGGGGCATGGCAGCCACCACCACGGTGCTCAGAGGGCGACACTAGAGTCACCTACCACACCTCAATCAGCCAAGTTCACACAAGGCAGCCAAAAAAGCTGAAGGTCACAGTCCTCATCGAGGGCTCTCCATGCGAGATGGAGATCGACACAGGGTCATCACTGACCATCATGCCATGGTCCACACTCAAGCAGACTATCCCTAGCCTGAAGAAGCAGCATCTACGCGCCCCTGACATCTGCCTTCGCGATTACCAGCGGAACCGAGTCCCCATCGTGGGCCAGGGTACCTTCCGGGTGCAATTCAAAAACTTCAGCGGCCAGCTCCCAGTGACGGTGGTCAGCGGTGACCTGCAGAGCCTCCTGGGGCTTGACTGGTTCAA